AGAAAGAAATATTTTTGGAAATATTTAAAACACAGAATATATTTCCCCAAAGGATTTTAAAAGCAGAAACCAAGCCCGCCCTCAAGTCTCTCTGTCCCAAACAGAAACCAAGACTGTAAAATGCACATGTGATAATCTTGTCAGAAAGATGGGAGTCAGGAAGCTGGGATTAGGACAAAAGATGCCTAGAATCAATAATTCCTCACACCAAAAATCTAAGAGTCATCAGCCACAGCCACAGCAAAGAAGGACTGACCTTTGGGACATAATAGGATTAACCCACCACCATCAGAATACCAGAAAGGCACACTCAGACTCAGGTCAAAGTTCATGCCACAGGAACAACTCCAAACAAAAGGCTCAAGAAGGTATTAAAACCCACTCCCTACATGTACTCTCTCTCTTCTTCCAGAGCCATCTTTTTGTCTGGCTCTCCTCTTCAATAAACTGCAACCTTCTTTCTAAAGCAGTTGCCATGTTGTTTATTCCCAGCTAGGACTGAACCATGATGAAGACTTTTCCTTCAATACCATGAAATCAAAGACTTTTAAAGGGGAAGAACAGACCAAACAAGAGAAAGGAAGTGGGCAGAATGTAGAAACTCTCTTTGGTTACACTGAAGGTTTTCTGTGTAACATGGATTTTCTCCCTTCCTCCCAAATTATCCGCTGGCTATATATCATCTGTCTATAGCAGTGGTTCTCAACCTGTGGGTCGGGACCCCATTTGGGGTCGAACGACCATTTCACGGGGGTCGCCAAACAAGGCTGTCCGCCATTTTCCCCCTTTTCTTTGGCCATGCCCCTGGCACCCAGTGATTTATAAGTGGTTGGGGGTCACCACAACATGGGGAACTGTATTATGGGGTCGCGGCATTAGAAAGGTTGAGAACCACTGGTCTATAGTATACTGAACAAGGTTAACCTTCAGTTGTTGTTTTTAAGAAAGGGGAAAGGTGGAATAAAAATGTGAATTGCCTCATACTAGCCTGGAAACCTCTTTCCTTTCCTTTCCTTTCCTTTCCTTTCCTCTCCTCTCCTCTCCTCTCCTCTCCTCTCCTCCCATCCCATCTCATCCCATCCCATCCCATCTACTGAATGATCTTCCATTGGTTACTTGATACAATTCAGGAATGTTGATTCTGGCAGGATGTTGATTCTTGCACCTTACTCTGTGCAGGGTGTCCTCTCCCACTATGTCTACTTACAGCAGTAGGAGAGTACTTTGAAAAGGGGTCCCAATACTGAGACTTTCTTACCTTCTGTGTGGAGAAGATCTTCTCCTGTGTGGTTCCAAGGCTGTAAAATACATCCCTGAAGGAGGTATATTTGATTCCTCTTCTTCTAGTTTGTAAAAAGATGTATCCTTGTTGCTATACTTTATTTGAATGTTTTAGAGAGGTACAATTGCTCTACAATGTAAGCACATTTATGAGTAGTTCTTGACCAGGTTACCCTTTTGTTCTTTGAGCTGTGCTGACTCCCAGCAGGTGTCTGGATGCAATTTGAAGTTCTGATTATAACTTGTGTCTTGGGACAGGACACCTGAAGGGCTTCTCTCCCTGATTATCATCACCTATCCTGTTAGATCTGCTAGGAGGGCATGATTAGCTTCCATCAATTTAACACCATCTTTAATGTCACTTAAGATCAGACCAATGGCTTAGCACAGTGGTGGCGAACCTATGGCACGCGTGCCAGAGGCGGCACTCAGCGCCTTCTCTGTGAGCACGTGCGCCATGCTCTGAAGATGGCAACCGTCCCTCTTCAACCAGCCGCCCACTAACTTGCCGAGGCCCCACATGGCCGGATGCATCCCAGTACCCATGCACTCGCTGGCCTCTGTGTGCAGGGGCCATGGTGTCAGGCAGCAGCCGTCCTGGCCTCACCATGCCCTATGACAATGGCACCCCCACCATGTCTCACCTTGCCTCACCTCACTCAGCAGGACGAGCCTCCTGCCCACCACCCCACCTGCCAGAGACCCCCTGGATTTCCCCCAATCCTGCCAAGCAACATCAAGGTGATCATGCCCACCTTGTCCACACCCACCCAATCTGCCATGACCACTACAGCCACGTCTACCCAGTGAACCACGCCCACCTGGCACCCAACAATAAATAAGTGGGTTTTGGGTTGCAGTTTGGGCACTAGGTCTCTAAAAGGTTTGCCATCACTGGCTTAGCAGTTAAAGACGCTGAGCTTATCTGATGGCAACTCGACAGCCTGGGTTTGGGACCCAAACCCTGAGCGACAGGGTGAGCACCCATTAAACTCCAACCTAGCTCCTGCCAACCAAGCGGTCCAAAAGCATGTAAATGCGAGTAGTTAAATAGGTACCACTTCAATGCGAAAGATTACTGTGTTCCGTATTTTCATGATGATGGAAGCATCTGTCAGACAACACAGATTCCCTTAGCTGGGAATTGGAGATGAGCCCTGCCTCCTTGAGTCGGTGGTGATTGGACAGGGGAAACCTTTAAAGCAGGGGTAGGCAACCTTAGCTCTTTTATGACTCGTGGACTTCTATTCCCAGAATTCCTGAGCCAGCATGGCTCAGCTTGAAAACCTCTCCCTTTCCCCTCAGCATGGCTGGCTCAGGAATTCTGGGAGTTGAAGTCCACAAGTCATAAAAGCGCCAAGGTTGCCTACCTCTGGCCTAGGCCTAGGCCGCTTTATTACTTGTGGACTTCAACTCCCAGAATTCCTCAGCCAGCATGGCTCAGCTTGGAAACCTCTCCCTTTCCTCTCAGCATGGCTGGCTCAGGAATTCTGGGAGTTGAAGTCCACCAGTCCATAAAAGAGCCAAGGTTGCCTACCCCTGCTTTAAACCCTTTTAATGTCACTTATTGAGATGGATGGCCAAATATATTTGATGAATGAATGAATAACTAAAGAGATCTTGCTGGATCTAGGAAGCATGTTATTTTGGTCATGGCTCCTGCGCTCTGAAACACTTTACCATCTGGGATCAGATTTACCCAACCCTGATGGCCTTCTGAAAAATGCTTAAGACCTGGTTATTTGCCCAGGTGTGGGAGATAGGAAATCAGCGAGTTAGGAAATTATTTTTGAGTTGTTGTTTTTTTAAAAAAAACACCACTTGGCTACCTTTTCTTTGAAAGATGGAGGGCAATAGAAGAAGGGGACGACAGAGAAGGAGGTGGCTGGATGGAGTCACTGAAGCAGTAGGCGTCAGCTTCAATGGACTCCAGAAGATGGTAGAGGACAGGAAGGCCTGGAGGAACATTGTCCATGGGGTCGTGATGGGTCGGACACAACTTTGCAACTAACAACAACAACCTTTTCTTTTTTTAAATTCCTGATTGTATATTGCATTTCGGTTCATCTTTTGCAAGTTTTATTTATTTTAAACCATTTAGGGAATAAAATTCATGGCGTTTAAAAAAACGAAAGTGGGAAGGGACATATTAAATGGAAAATACTTTATGTAAATGACATAGTAATCTTGTTCCATTTGGGAATGAGAAGGATAGTGGCTTTCTTTGGCCTAAAAAAAATTTCCCTTGTAATAAATTATCAAAATAATGAATAGTGTTAGTTTTGCATGACAACCCTGCAGGACTCATAAATGGCAAAGTAACGGGACTCCCAATAGACCAGATGCATATTTAACAAATATTTTGGGGTGGAGTTCCAGGTTCTTGGAACACACAATTCACTTATCAAGCACAACAAAGGTTTCTCCCGTCTTGAGAGGTTTTTTTTCATCGATCACCATATTGTTTGTATGATGCTGTTTTACTTTATCCTTGCTTTTTATTCGTATCTGCAGATTTTTAGGTGTATTTCTAAATATGCCTGATCTGCATGATTGATGTACGTTGTGTTTTCCAGTCAAAGGCCGTAACAAAGGGAGGTCCCCAATTTCCCGAGGACTTGGTTCAACTGCTGAACTCTTCTCATTGTTTTTCTGATATAAAATCAGACATTGCATACTTGTTAATTAAAATGGTTTACTTTTCTCCATTCCAGGATGATAGAAAATGATCCTTGATCTTCTTCTTGTGTCACTGCCTTTTCAGATACTTGAAATCCTCAAACAGGCTAAGGTAGTGATGGACGATCTATGCCAAGTGTGTCACAAGTGGTATACCGTGCCATTTTGGTGACACACCAGGTCTCTGGATGCTCTACAAGTCATAGGAGAGGGCCTTGATTTAGCATAGCCTCTGAAGCCTCCAAAAATCAGACAAGCATTCTTGTGCAACTTTTGGAGACTCTAGAAGCTTTATGACAGTAGGACCCTCTTGTGCAACTTCCAGAGTATCCAGAGAAGAGAATCCAAAAGAAAGGAGGTCTGGAGAGGCCTTCTCCTCCTCCTCATCTCTCTCTCTGTCAAGATAGGCATGTTCTGAATTTTTGACACTCCAAGCCCAAAAGGTTCGCCATCTGAGGCTAAGTATACCTAGTTCTGCAGAAGATAACCAGGCTGAGCCCAAGGGAGGGGTCGAATGCGTCATCAGTCTCGAGTCTCTTTGAGCCCACAAGAGATCGAAGTCCAGCCCACCTTAAATTCTGCTGACCCTTATTTACCGCCAATTTGCTTTGATCATTAGTACATCAGATTTTTGTAGAGAGCATTAGAATGCAATAAACCTGTGTTCATTTGAACTGCCTTGGCTCCAGATTTTTTTGTGCTTGACAATTCTTCCTTAATCTGCCCTCACTGAATTTAATTTCCAGTCCACTGCTCACAAACGTTGTTTTATCTTTTAAACTCTTTGGAATGCTCCTTGAATTTGGTGTCCAGGTTTGGATGAGAGGACTTGAATAACGGTCTGACCAATATTATTAAGTCTGGACCATGGAGGCAATACAAGACAACTCACAAATCCCACTTTCTTTTTACGACCCTGTAATAATCCCTTAATTCAGAGTAGAGTCTGGGCAATTGGATGGAGTTGAGTGTTTACTGATGCCACGTGAATTCACAAACCCCCATTAAGAAAAAAAAAGAAAAAAAAACACCATCACCAATATGATACCACAGAATTATATTTATGTTTTTTTTCTTCACATTGCAACATCCATGTTGTTCATTTTGTGACACATTATCTCTAATAATTCTGAATATATATTTACTATAATACATTATACCAAGAGGCACTTCCAGTAATTCTGGCAAAAAAGGAGCTTCATTAATAGTGTCTAACTTACAAAACAGTAAAAATAAATAATGTTTATCTAAAAGATTTCTCCTGTTTCTCCGCCTGTACAGAATCTATTTTGTACAAAACATTTATCAGCCATTAACTAAAAATCACCTTAACAAATACTCGTGAAGGGAATATATTAAGTATTGCTACATGTCTTAAGTGCAAGATATCCGTGAAAAGAAAAGCCAACAGAGATTTCGGTCAGTTCGTGAAAGGTCATCAGCTAAAAATACAAGGCCTTGTTTTTAAGTTTTTGTCTTAAAAGAGGTTTGGTTACAACAATATTGGCAATATATAAATATAAATTAATGCAGGTAGTATTTAGTGAAAAGAAGACCGTGTTGGAAAAAATGGACATCTACAAATACTGAACGCAGGAGGTACGGTTCTACAGTACAACAATGGTTGGCAATTCCACCTACTTGAGAGGGATGAAAATGTCACAACTGAACCCCTTTTATAAAGCCTCATTTGGTTTTAGTGGGACACTGAAGGAGCAAGCTGTGTGTTGTTATGAAAGCACAGATACTACTTTCGGCAACTTCTTCCATGCCCGTTATTTCTTCCCAACTTGAAATAAAAATACAAAGAAACTGAAGACCTAAAGAACTCAGGTAAGGAGTGAGTCCTTCTAAATTGCTATTTTCTCCACCATTTTTCCACTTTGCTTTGCTTTGGCTCTTCAAAGAAATATTTGAGTCAATATTGGCTGCCCAACAACTTTCAAGAACTCTTATCTCCATCTATCTGGGATGGATATTCTAGTTCAGAAGGTCATCGGTTCCTTACTAGATCATGGCTATAAGGGTGGACCATGATGATAGGACACACAAGTCAACCCCTAGTTGAAATATTAATGAATATTTGAAAAATTATTGGACCTTGGAAACATTCAGGTCTGGCTTGATCGCCTTCACTTCTCCCCCCCTTTTTTTCCTTGTGAAGAAAAGAGTATTTCATGAAATTGCTTTTGAGGAAACCCACAACTCTATTAAGAGACCTTGATGGGGCAGACAACCAACAATGACTGAAAGAGTCAAACCTGTCAAGGTGAACTGGAACAACGGGTCCTTCAAGCAACAGCCACTTTGATTTGTTGAATGCCCAGATTGAACAGAAGACTCAAATACAACCATGTGCTGAAGGTGCACCTCTCAAGTTAGGAAGCTACATTACTTGCTCTCAAGAGAAACGGCTTTAATTCCCATGATGGTCAAATACACACCCACCTTTCAAAGGTTGCTGGGGATAATCATTCTTAATTTTGGTGCAAATAAGATAGATGGGTGGGTGGATGTATCTTAATTTCATGGATGTTAGGCATCACCTGTGCATGGAACATTACAAGGATCAGAGATATAAAAGTTACATCTCTTCACACGTGAGTGCAAGCACTTTCTGCTCATGCGTGAAGCTGTGGAGCTGTGCGCACACATCTGTGCCTTGCCACTCACACTCACACTCCCATGCCAGGTCAGGCTGACAAGCCGGAAAGATTGTGGAGTGCTGCTCTAACAAATGTATCTAGGTCAGTTTCATGCCTGCTAGCAATGCCTAGAAAATCAGAACAGCAGATAAACAATCCTCTTTAGATGTTAGTACAATTGAACAGGAAAAGATTGACATGTAACACAAACTTTCCAGCAAGTACTTTTGTTTCTAACATAGAACATATTTATAGGCAATTTGAAGCCATTAGACTCTGGTTTGTCCTCAGAGAGCTTACACAGTAGTTACCAGAATGTGAGAAATGTCTCTATAATATGCATTTGAACAGTGGTGTTTGCAGGATATTGTAAAAAAAAAAAAACTTAAGATGGTGGCTGTGATGGTGTAATCAAAGTTTCTAACACCCTCCCTTTTTTGGCATCATTTGTACAACACAAACAAAAAAACAGACTAAGCATTGATTGCATCATCGTAGCTGCCAATCTTGACTTTTGGGCCACACTCTATGGCAGTGTTTCTCAACCTTGACAATTTTAAGGCATGTGGACTTCAACTCCCAGAATTCCACAGCCAGCGTTGCTGGCTGTGGAATTCTGGGAATTGAAGTCCACATGTCTTAAAATTGTCAAGGTTGAGAAACACTGCTCTATGGTCACTCTATGCAGCTGGAAAGACCATGAAGGGAGAAATCTGAGATGTTCTCTTAAAACAGGGGTCTTCAAACTTGGCCCTTTTATGACTTGTGGACTTCAACTCCCAGAATTCCTCAGCCAGCATGTTTGGTTGAGGAATTCTGGGAGCTGAGATCCACAAGTCAAGAGGTCTTCAAACTTGGCCCTTTTATGACTTGTGAACTTTAACTCAGAATTCCTCAGCCAGGCACGCTACACCATATAACCTTCTCAGGAAGGGAGTGTTCTAACTATTTGCAAAATTTCAAAGACATTGCTGAGTTATGGGAAAAGTGTGAGAGGCTGAACAACTTATTAAACAACTCTAATGTGCATTTTCCCCTCAGTTGGAACTGGCTTAATCTAAGTGAAGGGAGGCAAGGATAATGCTGGTTTCAAACATGGCTTCCCAGACTGGATGGTGCCAAAACATCTGATCTTCTTTTAAAAAAATTGTGAGGCAGTGAAAGATTCCTCAGAAGCTTAAGGCATCAGTTTCACACCTTAAGAACTCCCAAATTTCCCTCTAAATCATAGCCTTAGCCCCCATCCATGTGAACCCGGGTTCAGGGTGGATTGTAAGAACCCAGCCACTGTGGTTCACAAACCACACATTATGGCTCAAGGCAAATTGTAAACATGGCAAATCATGGCTTATTCAACAATCTTCAATCACATTACAAATTAGGGCAAAATGTGAACTGAGTTTCTACAGTTCCAATACATTCAGCAACAATCTGAACAATCTGCGTAGGGTGTCCAATCTTGGCAACTTTGAGACTTGTGGACTCCAACATGGCTGGCTGGGGAATTCTGGGAATTGAAGTCCACAAGGTCTCAAAGTTCCCAAGGTTGGGCACCCCTGGTGTAGACTGTGAATCTAGGAGATCCCAAAGAACCAACTTGGGAGAAAAACAATGAGGCAAAATAAACTCATCCTGAAATATTAGTAAGATAAGAGAAATGGGTTGGCCCAATAACCAATCAAGTGGAAATAGGACAATAATTTCAGAAATATTTTTGACGACACACTTAGTTACAGACTGATCTCCTGTCATATGTACTACTACTTAAAACTCTGTGATGAACAGTTAGGCTTTGCTGCTAAATTGCAGCACTTTTGTTACACTCAAATGTGTCTCTGACAGTTTCTGCTAACAAACCCACCAATCTGAAAAGAATTCATCCAATTCCATTCCCAATCATGCAGGACTTCGTTTGTCAAATTCAAAAACAGTCACATTTTACGGAAAAAAAATCTTTTTCTCTTTCTTTGAACTATCTTTACAAATACAACCCAACTTCCCCTATCAACAGGACACTAAAAAGTGTCTCTGTATTTACACGTAGGCTAATAAAAATTAGTTGTGACCAATGAAGCATTAAAAATGGACAACTAATCATCTAAAGAAGTCCTATGTCTGCTGGTGAATTTTTTTCCCCATGTAATGGGATCTTGCTTTTATAGCTGCCAAGACATACAATCAAGGTGGGCAAACTTTGACATCAAAGTTTCTTCTGCAATTTCATGACATCCATCCGAACTGCATTTCAAATTAAAGACTGGAATTGCATTTATTTTAAAACATAAAACTGAACATTACCCAGATGGAGGATATAAATAGAATGGGAGAAGCAGGCAAGTCAAATTGTGCTTGTTTCCCCAAATTATGCAATTTTCTTTACATTCTGGCATTCATACCTATAGACCTCCTAAAAGCAGGAATCTTCAAACTTAGCCCTTTTAAGACTTGTGGACTTTCAACTCCCGGAATTCCTCAGCCAGGCATGCTGGCTGAGGAATTCTGGGAGTTGAAGTCCACAAGTCATAAAAGGGCCAAATGTGAAGACCCCTGTCCTAAAGGGACACTTGAACAATGTTCTCAAGTGGTACTACTCAGCTCACTGGGTTTCCCTTAGTACAGTTATATGAAAACATTAAAGCAGAACTTATTCTACTTATGATGTGGTGAACAAATATGAAGTACAGGATGGGAAACCATCTTTCTTGAAAACCAACAACATAAGGCAGATTCCTGCCTTGATTGGTAGAATAACTCTGGGGGGTTTTTTCTTCTTCTTGTTCTTTTGTGCAGTTGTTTTCCCATCCTCTTGTGCCAGAAAACAAACCTACCTGTTTAGAACAGGGCTTCCCAAAATTGACAATTTTAAGGCCTGTGGACCTCAACTCCCATGGCTGGCTGGGGAATTCTGGGAGTTGAGGTCCACAGGTCTTAAAGTGGTCAATATTGGGAAGCCCGGATCTAGATCATTCGCTTTCTAAAACTGCTGTCCTAAAAGAACCATGGCACGCTTTGGAAATTGCTTGCTGGTTGTGGAAAGACAGATAAATGATAGGGAAACGTCCTTGGCTAAAACATTGGGTGGGTCACTGCATCTACAAAACGTCCTATGTACCATGGAGGAAAATGCAGGATGGCAGCCTTCCTTAATGGTGTGTCCCTCCAGAAGTGTGTCTTCCAGAATCCTCAGCACTGGCCAAGCTGTCTGGAAAATTCTGGAAGTTGAAGACCTCCCTTTGAGAGGGTGCATTTGACTTTTGTGTGGGGGCTGCAGCGAATCCTAGGCAGTGTTTCACCTAGGTGGTCCAGGTGCTCCAGAATCCTCTTTATCACATGCAAGCACCTTATAACAAACAAAGCAACGAAGAAGAATGGATCCCTTGAAGTAGATTTGAATTCCCTCTGATTGAGGTCAACAGGCACCGGCTTCGCAGTCCATACACACATTCCAATAAAAAGCAGAAGCGACGGTTGCCCGACGTATCTCATTCGCAGTCCATCTTAAAAGTCACCTTTCTCATGCTCAGAAGACACAGGAAAAGGATAAGAATACAATGAAAGGTGGGAAGGATCCTAGGGTGTCTCCCCAAAGTCTATCTCAATTCAGTGAATTGGAAATGCCTTCACACAACATGGAGAATTGCCACCACCAAGAAGGTAACGTGTGATGCTTGAAACTTGCCCTCCTAAAGTGGTGGTGGTGGTGGTGGTGGGAGGGAACGTGGCATAAACAGTTGTGCAATATATAGGTAGGAATTGTAGCTTGCACAAGCTTTCAAGGGACATGCCTTTTGGAAAAAAACAATCAAGACCCACCAAACAGCAACAGAGGGGGCTCGCTCCAGAAATGGGAAGTCCTGTTTTCCTGAGCTGCTGTGGGCTCACCTCCGTCTGGATTTTACTGAGTTGTGTGGAAGAATGAGCAAGCGGTCCGAGGCAGAGTTCTCCAGGCTGAGAAAGAAAGAGCACATTCTCTGCAATGGAGGTGCATAATCTTCTGTGAAGACTTGCCAAGTGTGTCACAGCCTGTCTCCAAAGCACAAAGCCCTTCCCTTTGCTCCATGAATTGCGGTGTTCCTGTTTTGTGTGCCTGTGATGTCCTGCAGGCTCATCTATGCTGGCAGTCGGGATCAACCATTAACCGAGACAATCGGTTGCTCCACTTTAACAACAACAAAAAAGGGCAGTACAGCCTTCTCCATTTCACCGAGTATTGTCTCAATTTCAAATCCTTCCCTTTCCTTTTTTTTTAATAATATCACAGGCAGCATCGTATAATCATCTTTTTTAAAACAACAAATAAACAAATATGCAGCTTATAAACCCAGGCTAGTATTTTATATATATATTTATAATTCTCCGATGTATTTGAAAATTTGTAAAAATGGCCGTTGAACTGTGAAAGCAATGTACCTCGAGGGAGGGAGGGGGGAGGGAGGGAGGGAGGGAAGGAAGGAAGGAAGGAAGGAAGGAAGGAAGGAAGGAAGGAAGGAAGGAAGGAAGGAAAACTTAAAACAGCTGTAGGTGAATTATCCCGTATTTCTACAGTGTCGTGTCTAAACGTTGTGCTGGCTTGTAAAAACAATTGGTACGCAAGGTGTCCTTGCATCAAATACTGTACAAAATTCCTGTCACTGTCATTGGTTTTCTTCTGGAGCTGTGTTATCTTCTTCCTCTTTGGCCTTTCCCTTCTCCTCGTCCTCCTCTTTAATAGCCTCTATTTGCTCAGAGGACGGGCGCAGTGCCGTTGATGGCTCCCCACTTTGCTTCTCCTTTGCAGCTCTCCTCTCTTCCTCTTCAATGACCTTCTGCCACATCTGGTGGTTCTGCAGCAAGTGCTGAGTTATCTGGCAGTAGACTTTCCTCCTTCTTTTTCCTGCCAAAGGCGACAAGCAAACGTAAAGCCTCATTCACATTGGGAGAAAAGTCTGCAAAATCTGGCTCACATCTACATCAATAGAATCAAGATCAGATAAAGTGTTAATACCACTTTACAATGCCTTGGTAAGGTCAACCTTGGAATGCTGCATACGGTTTTGGTCACCACGATGTAAAAAAGATCTTGAGACTCTAGAAAGATGGCAGAGAAGAGCAACAGAGATGATTAGGGGACTGGAGGCTAAAGCATATAAAGAACGGCTGCTGGAATTGGGTATGTCTAGTTCAGGGGTAGGCAACCTTGGCTCTTTTATGACTCGTGGACTTCAATTTCCAGAATTCTTGAGCCAGCGTGGCTAAGCATGGAAACCTCTCCCTTTCCCCTCAGCATGGCTGGCTCAGGAATTCTGGGAGTTGAAGTCCACGAGTCATAAAAGAGCCAAGGTTGCCTATCCCTGGTCTACTTTAATGAAGAGAAGGACAAGGGGGGACATGATCGCAGTGTTCCAATATCTCAGGGGCTGCCCCAAAGAAGAGGGAGTCAAGCTATTCTCCAAAGCACCTGAGGGCAGGACAAGAAGCAACGGGTGGAAACTAATCAAGGAGAGAAGCAACCTAGAACCAAGGAGAAACTTCCTGACAGTTAGAACAATTAACCAGTGGAACAACCTGTCTCCACAAGTGGTGAATGCTCCAACACTAGAAGTTTTTAAGAAGAGGCTGGACAGCCATTTGTCTGAAATGGTATAGGGTTCCTGCCTGAGCAGGGGGTTGGGCTAGATGACCTCCAAGGTACCTGTCCAAGGATAGACAGGGCCCAACTGGAATAAAGTAAATAATGAACATGTACAGGACTTAGAATAGTTTTCTCTGGCGAGGACAGTTTAATGGAAGGATATTGCTGAAAAGCTGTTGCCAATTTTGAATACAATTCAGCAAAATTGTCAGGCCCCCAAGAACCAACAGTGATACCTGGAGTTACTTCTGAGTAGTTTCTTTATTGTTTTTTTCAGCGACAGACAGAATTTTGCCAGACTAAAGCAACTATCTGCATTAATTAAGGGTGCACTCTGTGAACTGCTTGGGAGGGGCTGTCTTAGCCCTCTTCCTGCCTACCAGACTATCCAAGCTCTGTTGCCTCTTTGCCCGCTGGGACGTGGCCCCTTCCTCCTCGGACCCCAGTCTACCTTCCACCACAACATGAATTGTGAAAAAAGTCTAATAACGCTCTGCATGCCTGGCACAGAATACCCGGTTTCAATGAATACACGTTATTTCCCCTCTTCCTATATCTAACTTTTGTCTGATGACGTCATAACCTGTTTTCATTGTCCCATGTTTGACCTTGCTTTGCCCTCAATAGCCGGCCTATTAATCTCTTACCAACACTTATCAATCAAATGCAGTAACACAGAACTAAAGAATTGGGGAAAACATGCAAGGATCATCTAGTCCAGGGCTTTTCAACCAGTGGTATGGTTACCACCTGTGGTACATTGGCACCTGGCAGGTGGTAGGCGACCATCCTAGAAAAGTGGTAGCGGGGGAGGGGAATGAGCTGAACTGGTGGCAGCACCGCACAAGCCTGAGCGAGAGATGGCTGGAGCTGCAGGGCTGTCAGGGCTCAGCGGAAGCACCAGGATCAGCGCTTCTTCAGGACTGTCAGGGCTCAGTGGAAGCGCCAGGATCAGTGCCAGGCTCCAGCTGGAGCTCAGCGCTGATCCTGGTGCTTCTGCTGAGCCCAGAAGAAGCGCCGATCAGCTAGAATGTTGCAGCATCTCCAGGGTCTTGTGATTTACATTCAGATGCCTGGCAACTGATTCATATCCATGACGGTCACAATGTCCCAGGGTCATGTGAAGTGACCAAAACCTGCTGCAACCACCCAGCAGATGGGGGGAATAAAAACCAAATACCCCCCATCCCACCCCTGCTGCCAATCCTCAACAGAAATGCTCTCAACAATGAAAACCTCGGACAGGAGGAAGAGCGTGGCTGGGTGGGCAGGCAGGTGTCTTGCTCGGCACTTTTTTCAGTGCCATTGTAATTTTGAACAGTCACTAAGCGAACTGTTGTAACTTGAGGACTACCAGTACTTCATCACTTTTTTCCTTTTTTTTTTTGGTCAAGTTTTTGACACCTTGCTAGGCGACTGGTGGTACTCGGACATTGCCATATCCTAAAAGTGGTACAATGGATGAAAATGTTGAAAAACCCTGATCTAGTCCATGGGTAGGCAATCTTGGCTCTCTGATGACTTGTGGACTTCCAACTCCCAGAATTCCTAAGTCAGCATAGCTGATTCTGGAATTCTGGGTATTGAAGTCCACAAGTCATCAAAGAGCCAAGGTTGCCCACCCCTGATCTAGTCTAACCCTTGCAAAGGAAACCAATCAAACCAATTAAGTTAACCAGCAACTAAGGATTCAGCCGATTAAGCTTACCGCTTGAAAAGATTTACGTTCTGGTGCTATGAATATGCCATCCTTTTTCTAGATCGGGAGAACCCATTAAGGTCCTTCTGCAGCTAGAATTTCTAAGCTGGCTCTACAGCAGTGTTTCTCAACCTTGACAATTTTGAGGCATGTGGACTTCAACTCCCAGAATTCCACAGCCAGCTGGCTGTGGAATTCTGGGAATTGAGGTCCACATGCCTTAAAATTGTCAAGGTTGAGAAACACTGCTCTACAAGGTTTCCAGACTCTGCTGGTGAAAGTGTTTCTCATGCTTTCCTCTACGATTCTGTGAAAACATTTGGACTCTACCCCTCTTGCGTTCCTGTCTTTACTAACTTGCATGATGAACTTTTTTCAGAAGTTTTAATAAAAGGAAATAAAACCTTAGGGAGGAAGTATTATTCAGGCATGTTTTGTCTCAAAGAAATGTGTGTACCGATTAGCGATTTGGAAGGCAAACTCTTGAGTCCTTCAAGTTTTTCAACTTCAAACAAAGAGCTTTTTACTATGGGATAGCCCAAATCCAGTTCAATCCTTCCTTAGAAAACTTTCAATTCCATGTAGGAAGGCTCCAGGTTTAATCAGAAGGAACTTCAGTTCTGAACTTGCCCTCCATATTAAAACATTCCCTCCCCAGTTTCCCGGGAGATGCCCCCTCCCGTACTTTGCAGGGCTCCAGAGATGCCAGGTTTGTTAATCACATCCCACATTTTGTTGGCAATGATGTCAGGAATGGCTAATGGGCAAGGGAGTAGGAAGGGACAAACCAAGAACACGTTGGCTTGACAACATCAAATCTGATATAAAGTTGAACATCCATCGAAGGAAAGCTGTGCTTGACAGGGTAGCATAGAGAGCATTTGCCTATAAGGTCACCAAAAGTCGGACATGGCTGAATGGTTAAAACAAGAACAAAACATTTTGCTGGAAATCATTTCACACAGACTCATCGCAAGCTATTGTAAACTCCATTTGTTGCTTTTAGTTCATCTCATGTGGTGAGAGATTCTGTAAATGATAAGGACCTTGGAAAATGGACATGTACCACACGTCCTATATCTTCCAGGGAGAAGATCCCATTTTTTAAAATTATTTCTTGGGGATGCTCGCACACACGTTTTCTAGTGTGAACTGCTATATTTGTCCTTTGGTGAGTAATACTCTACCCATCCAAGGTCACCCAATCTGTAATTCTGAATAAATTTGCAGGTGTGGTCTTTAATGTAGACAAAGTGAAGTGCCTTGGTGGAGATACCAAGGAGGTATATTACACACAACTCTCTATTTCTTACCTGGAAGCTTGCTGTTGGGAAGACTGAATTTGAGCCATGTAGATATTTCTCCCCCCCCCCCCGACAATTCGGATTTTTTTAGCACAACTTTGAATGAATGAATGAATGAATGAAAGAATGCTGCTTTGGCTTGTGTGTCACTCAAATCAAGGTTACAGAACCTGCAGACAGACTTGAGTAAACACGTGTGTCGAAATGGGACTGGATAGCAAATCTGAGCTAGAGACATATGTATGTCACCTGAGGTGAAATTTGTTTCCATCCATCTGACTGACCTTCCATAAGGCGTGAAGGCCTGGCTCTGCCAATTGGCTTGGGAGCATATCACAGTGGAGGTGATTGACAGATTAAGAGAAGGTCCCACTTCCCACTGGCATATCCTGCTCTCTTTCTCCCCATCTTTTTAATTGTAATCTTTGCTGTATTAGAAAGTTTTGCTCTTTCCAGTTTTGCTGGCTTTTATTCCTGGAAATCACCCATTATTATTATTTCACAAATTGCAATGTTACATTAGCCAGGACACTACAGTGTGTGAACAAAGTAGTTGTTTGGCTGCCGAAGAGTATTAGTTTGTTCAGTTCACGCTCGCGTGCTATCCAGAGTGCACCAAGGGGGCGGACTAGCTCCACCCTCAGCAAGGAAGCCATCCGAAGCCATTTTGAAGCTAGATTGGGTGGCAAACAATCATAATGATACAAACTCATCGATCGATTATTTGTTTGCTGCCCAATATAGCTTTGAAATGGCTTTGGGCAGCTTCCTTGCGGAGTGTGGAGCTAATCTGCCAAAAAATAAAAAAAAAACAACCCACATATTTTCCAAGAAATCCAAATGAGGGGTCCCTGGTGTTCTCTGAGCTTGTTTGTTTCCTTGCAGTTGTTTCATTACCCAAACTAGGTAACATTATCAGTGCTCACAGATTAGCATTGATGATGTTATCTAGTTTGGGTAACGAAAAGTACACAAGAAAACATTTGTAGACTTTTCAATCCTGAGCTACAAAATATTCTCCTTTACTGAAATCCAAACACTTTACATCTATTATCTTGTTGGTCTCCTCGCCACAAACCCTACATTTGATTCGGAATAACTTTTGCGAAATGAGTTTGGGGTAGGCAGGCAGCAATTTTATTGGGAAACCAGTGGGTCAGAGGCAAAGAACAAAAAAAAAAAAAACGAGGACAAACATACTTGGTTCATGATTGTCACAGGAATCCATGTCTGGAAAATCCTCTTCGTGTTCATCTGTATCTCCTGACTCATCGCTCTCTTCAGTCCATTTACCTGGCATCAGTCCTGCTGAGTCATAGGAGTTACACAGTGGTCCCACAATGTGAGTGATGAAGGATTCCTGGAGTTTGGCTAACTGCGGAGCAGAGCGGTCCATGAAAGGGCTGATGGGGAGACCTAAGCTGGCTTCTTCATCACCCTTGGAAAACAGGAGGCACTCTGTTTTATTAATTAATCAAAAGCAATTGGGGCTGATTCCCTAATGGGGCTAACCCACCCTTCTCAACCTTCGGATGTCCCAGATTTCCAAAATTCAAGAATGCTGGCTGGGAATTCTTGGAGCTGGAATCCCAGAAGACCTGGCAGTAGCCAGACTGAGGAAGATCATTGTTATATGCCACGTGGGAAGTAAACCACGACAAGGCCAAGCATCTGTATTCAAACGACCTGCTAAACTCAATTAATTTTAACCTTAGTCAAGAGGTTCTTTTATGGCGGTGTTTGAGTCTGTTCTGCAAACTTGTTAAGTCAGCTTATGGTTCAATGTATTATATGGATCCAGGAAGCAGATTGCCTCAGGAATCTGGTGATGTGTGATAATCTGAACAAGGTTGTTTTGTTTGGTCCATCCCATTGGTCAGTTTAAAGTTCAAAGTATTATATGAACAATGAAAATGGATTAATTCAACAACGAATTTAGGATGGTTGTGTGAATAACTGTCTCTCTTGTGTAGCCTTAAATATCCCTTAGGAATGGAGTTGTAAACCGTTGAAGGTTGTTTAGAGAACTACTTTTGATTACAAAGAAGGAAACCAGCCTAAAACAGAAAAACACATTAATCAGAGCAACAAATTCCATTAGATGATCAACCAGAGCAACAAATCCATTAGATGATCAAGGTATGCTTGCACAAGTGGGCTGATAACAAGGATTTTAAAATGTTGACAACCAAGTCTGTTCCTTTTAGCATGTCTTCTGAAAATATATATTTTTTTAAATAATGACCAACAGCTTTTAAGGAAGGAGGTGTTTTTTTTTTTTTTGCATTTTAAAAGTTTTGAAACATGGAAACAAAACATTTGATTACTTAGAAGAATGGATTAAGAGGAACTGGTTCACTATGGTTTATGGAAATAATTTGCCTTCGTTATTGTGAATTGTCCAGACGAAAGTCCTTGCCATTCTCAAAGCTTAGAAAATAAGCTACAGACTAAAACGACGGGTATTATCCATAAGGCAGTAAAAAAAAAAAAAGTTGTTCACAGCAATTGTGTCTTCTCACCTGTTCATAAAATTCGTTCACAATGCCATCTGTCCACTTTAGATGTAAATCTTTGTACTTGGCTGGACCATTGATATCGGCCAGTTTGATGCACATCTGACAAACCAATAATCGGTCATTCTCGTTTGTCCAATCAATGCCTGCATCGTCGTTCACCTGGCAGATAACATGCTATTAGAAGAGGTTTATCTTGAGACTGCTGTGATCAAACATAACATAATACAATTCCAAAGATGAACATGATGTACACTGCACAAGGACCCTTTCCTAGGTCAGGATTATTATTTGGGTGCGTTATGCTTTTCCTTGGTTTACCACACTACTGGTTTATCACTACCATCTTTTTTTTAACTTTTCTATCTGGCTTCTAGCCCTGGGAATTTCTGGTTTTCCTCCCTACATGTACTAATCAGATCTGATTCTGCTTTGGTTCTGTTGTGGGTGCTCCATCACTGGAGATTTTTAAGTAGAGATGGGACAACCATTTGTTCGGAATAGTAGCAGTGATGGCGAACCTTTTAGAGACCGAGTGCTCAAACTGCAACCAAAAACCCACTTATGTATCATCGGGTGCTGACTGGCTGTGGCCATTGGGTGAGTGTGGCCAATTGGGTGGGTGTGGCTGCCGTGGTAACGGCAGACTGAGTGGGACTAAAAAGTTCAATCAATCAATCCCAACTTTGCGAGATCTTTTTTTCCCCCGTGAGAAGTTAAAATTGATTGATTGATTGAATCTTTTTTTTTTTTGCACATGGCGGCGGAGGCCTAAAGCGAAATGGTTTTATAAAACCCAGCAGAAGGCCCAGGACTGGGGCGATGGTGCGCGTGCCCACAGAGAGGGCTCTGAGTGCCGCCTCTGGCACGCGTACCATAGGTTTGCCCCACAGGTCTCTTGCTTCAGCATGGGGTTGGAGTAGAACAGTGGTTCTTAACCTTTCTGAACGAATCGCCCCCTTGAGCCAATGAGGAAGTTGTCATTGCCCCTCTCTCAATCACAACATAGAAAATAATTCTTCAATTTATGCAAACACTTTTTTTCTTTTCTTTAAAATTGTCATCAGGACATATGGATGCAAATAATATATTTCCAGTCTTTTTCCCATATCTCCCATATTCTGGCTAATGACACACTACTGTATGGGTAGAGGCTGCTGCACAACGCGCATGAAGATAAGCGATGCGTATTCACATATGTATGGCGTTCTGTAGTGAAGCTAGCTGGAGGAACATTTGAAAACACAATTCAATCCACTAAATAGCGAGCGATCTGATGTTTTTGTACGACAAATATACAGCGATTCACTGTACGAAAAAGTCTCAAAAGTGTCCCCAAAACTTCTCGCTCCATCGCCCCCATATCGCCCCCTTTTTGTTCCTTCGCCCCCCTGAAAAATGAAATCGCCCCCAGGGGGCGATATCACCCAGGTTAAGAACCACTGGACTAGAAGACCTCTAAGGTCACTTCCAATTCTGCTATTTTCTCATTCTGTTATCCCAGTCACACTTCTTCAGGTTCTTTATAAAACAGGATAGTCTTGCATTTGATGGCACCATTCTTTTATCTGTAATCTTCTTGTTTGCAGCTCCTTTTTGATATGACTTGGTGGAAGAAAGGAAGAACACTTTATCTACCCAGGTGTCTGCTGGAAAAAGGCTAGCTCCAGGGAAACCCTAGCATCTGCCCACCACAGTAACTGGATTTGACTGACTTTCTCACTTTTAGCCAAGAATTTATTTAGTCCTTCCTCCACTATGTAACTTTTCTTTCTCATGTCCCAAAGGTGCTTTTTCAAGAAACAACTGAACTTCCTTTGTTTTTCCTTGAAGATGTTTTGCTTCTCATCCAAGAAGCTTCTTCAGAACTGAAGCTTCTTCTGAACTGAGATCTGAAGAAGCTTCTTGGATGAGAAGTGAAACGTCTTCAAGGACAAACGAAGAAAGTCCACTTGCCTCTTGAAAAAGCACCTTTGGGAGAACCATGACCTGGATGGCTGAGAATCTCCATAGACATTCTCCTTCTCATGCAATTCTGACATCACTGCAACCCCTTGATCTGAATGTGACATTAAATGCAACTTTTAATTTCTCTTCCCCATCCTGGGTGCGTCTTCCAATTTTCTTGGCCAATGCAAGAGGATTGAGTTCTTCATTGAACTGAAGGGTTGGGAAAAAAAAAAAAACCTTGGAGGCCTTCCCCCACATCTCCTGGTTCAGGGCAGGAATCCCAAGATCATCCCAAACAAATCGTTTGAAATTCTTTAGTGACCTGTGACTCCAGGTGGCAAACTGCTCCACGGCTTAAGATAAGAGTCCTCACAGTCAGGAAATTCCTCCTTATTTTGAGTTGGGCTCTTCTGTAAATCTTCTGCCCATTGATGCTGCCTTCAAGCATTACAGAGAATAAATCTAGACCCAATTTCTTTTGTGACATGCCTTTGAAGATCATGTCTAATGCTGCTAGTTTGTTTCCAGGACAAATCCAACGTATTGGTTATGACCTTTAAAGCCCTTACGTGACATGGGTCAGGTTACTTACAGAAATGTGTTTGCCCCATTACATCAGCCCATTCAACCTGATCAGGTAGGAAAGATAAGTTGGTTGGTTGGTTGGATATCCATCCATCCATCCATCCATCTGGGGTGGGCGCGGCTTCCGCGTGATGCATCTGGCCCGCGGGCTGTTTTTATACCCCTGCTCTATATCTTATTTGCCACTCATTTATTGATTTTATTTATGAGACTTATATACCGCTTTAAGTGCAAGCACTCTCTAAGCGGTGTACACCAGTAAGCAATGTATATATATATATATTTTACATTGCCCCCAACAATCTGGGTCCTCATTTTACCTACCCCGGAAGGATGGAAGGCTGAGTCAACCTTGAGCCGGTGAGATCTGAACCGCTGTCCTGCTGAACACAGTCAGCTAAAGTGGCCTGCAGTACTGCACTCTAACTGCTGCGCCACCTCGGCTCTTGCCACAAGGCATGTTGTGGACCCCACCAGTTAAAGACTTTTCACTGGCGGTGTCTAGAAAGAGAGCCTTCTCTGGAACACTCTCCCCCCAGAGGTGAGGTGGACCCTCACTCTCCTGGTCTTCTGGAAAGGCATGAAAACATGGCTCAGCAGCCTTGCTTGGGCTGCTCAGAGGAGCATGCAACCATCGAGCTGGTTAGTGCTCTGAAGGTGCTTTGATTTAGCTTTAATGTTGGATTTTAACAATCTTTGCCTCTTTTTTAATTTTATATATAGTTTTTACGTTCTAATGTTTTATTTGTATACCACCCAAAGTACGTCTGCGAAGGAAGTATCATTCAAGGTTCAGAAAAACAATGTCTTTGTCACGGCTATTTTTTCAGCTGTGTTTTTTTTTTTTTTTTTGTGTGTGTGTGTGTGTGTGTGTGTGTATATATATATATATATATATATATATATATATATATATATATATATATATATATATATATATTATTTTATTCCGAAAATTAAAATACAAAATACAAAAGAAAAGGGAAAAAAATTACAAAGAAAAAACAAACCTAGACAAAAATGTTTTAAAAAAGTGGGAGTTAAAAGGACAAGAAACAAAAACACGTACTGACCCCCCCCTTGTTTGTACACTCGCAAAAATATATGGTATTGCAACAATAATAGCTTTCCCCCTTATGAAACAGGCCTGAGATTTATAAACTTCTACACCTATTTGCAACCCAATTGGACCTGTTGTGTTGTTAGTTAAGCAATTCAGGAATTCACCTAAGTGGGTGGTATCTTAATTTAAAAGCAAATATATCTATAGAAATTTTCAGCCATCCAGGTCACAGTTGTCTTAAAAGTGCTTTTTCAAAACGCAACTGGACTGTTTTCAAGAAAAAATCCAGCCCGGTTGGCTTTTGAAAAGACACTTTTGAGAAAACAAACCAATAAATAAAATGTTCTTGCTTTCTTTTAGGCTAAACATACCAAATCACCTTATCCATTCTCCCTAAGATTTAGCCTCAAAGCTACTAACCCTCTTTGTTGCTTTTCTCCACACTCTTTCTTTACTAGTGTTGAGTAGCTTGGTTCCAGATTACTATTCTTGCAACATCGCGTGATTAAGCCCTGCCATTTATATCCCATATTCTCCCCTTTGCTGATTTTCTAGGCTCTTATATAAAGGCTTGAAAGTTAATGAGACGCAGGGATTGTGTTTACCTTGGCATTGAATTTAGCTACAAAATCAAAGTGCTTCTTCAGATCAGTGGCCAAAATGGCCTCGATGACCAGGAACCGGAAATGCTTGAACTCCACATGATCGAGATGGATTAAAAAATTATATTCTGGCCTGGACATGAAAAGGTTCCATGCAGCCGCTGCATGATGGTTCTCCAGAACAGAACGGTCATTATATAGAACAGCCTACATCCACAGAGAGATGGAGAGAATATTCATTTCCAAAAGATCTGAGGGTTGCGGTCTGCTGAAACTAAATAAATGATATGCATTCCCCAAATTAACCACATTTGCAAGAAAGGGAATTTGCTTTAGAACTTATTTAAAAAGAAAACAGAACAGAACGTTGGCAAAAACTCTCAAGGGTGAACCATAGTGATTGTGTACTTATTTAAGGACGAGGCCCATGCTTTGCCTGTGAACATCCTGTCTTTTACTGAACCATCATGTCCCTAGTGATTGACAAGTTCCTGGCTTCCCACCTCGCTATTAAATCCCAAAGGAAAGCATCAGGTGTTCTTCTGGAATTTTAAATGCTTTTAAAGTGATATATGTCATATAAATATTTTTGTCAGGTGTATAGCTATTAGAATGGTTGGCATATGAGCATTTAAGCCAGGGGTGTTCAACCTCGGCATCTTTAAGATCTGTGGACTTCAATTCCCAGAATTCCTCCTGCTAGCCACAAAGTTCCCCCCCCCCCTATGCAATTATGGAGGAAATCTTGCCTCTGAAAAATTGTCAAACAATTTTTCTTTCCCCTGGAGCAGTGGCCCCCAATCTTTGGGGCACCAGGGACTGGTTTCAGGGAGAGAAGTTTTTTCACAGACTGGACGGGGCGTGGTTTCATGTGCTGCCTGCATCCCACGGATGGGGCTTTGCTTGTTTGCGTGGCCCAGTTTCTGGCATGGCGGTCCACAGACCGAGGGTTGGGGACCCCTGCCCTAGAGAAATCACCACTCAATTTCTGCCTAAAGAATGGGTGGAGAATCTAGTCCCAGGAAAGCAGCAAATGGGTTTGCTAAGCTTATGGAGACCTACATGCAGGTAGTCCTTACTTATCTACTGTAATTTAGATCGGTACTATTGTTAAGCATGATGCCACTTAGTTCCAGCTTCCACTGTTAAGTGAATTCCACATGGCCATTAGTGAGAATGTCATGTGGTCACTATTTGAGATCTCCTGCCAAATTCCAACTGACTTTGTTCGTGGGAAGCCAGCAATGAAGATTGCAAATGGCAGTCATCAGACTGCAGTATGCTGTGTGATGTTATAATTGCAAGCCAGTCACCAAGTGCCCAAATTGAAATCATTTTGACTACAGGGACAGCCTCAATTAGGACGAGTCTCACCCGTTCAGCACCTTTGTAACTTCAAACAGTTGCCAAATGACTGGTCATTAAGCAAGGATTACCTGAATATGATTGGTGAACTCCATCATTTTTTCTGAATGACTGATTGTGTGTAACAATTGAGCCACTCCACAACCCAGAGGAAATGAGCAGCTCACAAAAGCCTATATGCCCTAGAACAGAAGTTGGGCAATCTAAAAATGTGCTACAAGGCTCTTTCTGATTCTTAGCTGTATAAGCATGATGTTGTAGGACAGGGGTCTTCAAACTTGGCCCTTTTATGACTTGTGGACTTCAACTCCCAGAATTCATCAGCCAGCCTCCATTTTGTTTAAGACAGGGATCTTCAAACCTGGCCCTTTTATGACTTGTGGACTTCAACTCCCAGAATTCCTCAGCCAGCCTCCCTTTTGTTTGTTAGATTTAAGACAGGGGTCTTCAAACTTGGCCCTTTTATGACTTGTGGACTTCAACTCCCAGAATTCCTCAGCCAGCTTTGCTGGGAGTTGAAGTCCACAAGTCATAAAAGGGCCAAGTTTGAAGATCCCCTGTTGTAGGAGATGACCAGGCTGAGTCCGACAGAGAGGGTTTAACCTATCGTCAGTCTCAAGTCCCTTTGCGCCCACAAGCCCAGCCCATCTTGAATTCCATTGACTCTTATCCACTGCCAATTCACTTTGACTGTTAGTGGCTCAGATTCTTGTAGAGAGCTTTAACATACAATAAACCTAAATTTTCATTTGAACTGCCTAGATTCCTGATTTCTTGCCCTTGACAAGTGTGTTCCCTTAATCCTGCCCCACTTACCTGAGGAGCACTGGTTGCCACCAAGAAAGCATTGGTTCTCCCAGGATGGTCATAATCATGCATGGCAGCAGCCACGTAGAGGGCCATCAATTCAAGTGATGGGATATTGCCTGCCAAGCACCCATAGCTGTCATCTGTTGGCGTGTACGTTTTGGACAAGACATATCCCAGGTGGCCATGAGTGATCCCGCTGTCTGAATCTGGGCAGAAAATCAGGTTATTCACAGACCGCTCCTTACAGAGGCAGTATTTCCTATTTTGGGCTCACTTTGTTGTTGTTGTTGGTTACGAAGTCATGTCCGACCCATCGCCACCCCATGGACAACGTTCCTCCAGGCCTTCCTGTCCTCTACCATCTTCTGAAGTCCATTTAAGCTCACGCCTACTGCTTCAGTGACTCCCTCCAGCCACCTCATTCTCTGTGATTCCCTTCTTTCTATGGCCCTCAGTCTTTCCCAGCATTAGGCCCTTCTCCAGTGAGTCCTTCCTTCTCATTAGGTGGCCACAGTACTTGAGTTTCAACTTCAGGATCTGGCCTTCTAAAGAGCAGTCAGGGTTGATCTCCTCTAGGACTGACCGGTTTGATCACCTCGCAGTCCAGAGGACTCGCAGGAGTCTTCTCCAGCACCATGGTTCTTTGCTTAATTAAGCATACCATTTTACAAGGGGTTTAGTCAAGAGTCATCTCTACAATTAAGACAAAATGGCTCCTCCTGTTACCATGACCAAGGAGACATACCTGTGCAAACAGCTGAAGGCACCTGCAATTTGACCCACTCGATATATATACATTTCTCAGCTGCAAGCATCAAAGAGGCCGGACCAGCAATTATTTATATGAATTGATCTGAACTTGCAGCGTGCTTAATATAGTCAAACACAATTCCTGAATAGTTCCAGCCAACATGGTCCATGGTTAGAATGCTGGGAACGTTAGCCTTCCCTCTTTCTGAGGTCGGTAAAATGAGGACCCAGACTGTTGGGAGGGGGACATATGCTGACTCTGTAAACCACTTAAGAGAGGGTTGTAAAGCAGTGTGAAGCGGTATATAAATCTAGGTGCTATGGCTATTTTAAGGACTACCTGTAACAACAACACTGCAGCAAGAAATTCAGTTCAGGATAGCCAGACATTGTCATAACATTTACCAGAATCACTTGCTGACCCCTGGTCATTAATCATAGTTGGGAGGCCTGGGATAGGCTGGGATGAAAGATACCAGACAGCATGGAGGACATCAGTAGCATGAATTCTGTTATGATCTGTTAAAAGAGAGACAGGCTAATTGTATTGGGAGGGTGGATTGGGGGGAGTAACAGCACCATCTACTGGTCACAGATGAGAATGTTGAGTTATTCCTGGCTCCCACCTTTGAGGACTATGATATTCATAGTAATGTTAAAATTTCTCTATAGCATTCTAACATTTGCAAGTTCCCTACTATTGATTGACACCCAAGCTCTGTTTCGTTCAGTAGAATTTGGCAATCATTTCTTGATTAAAACATTCAGGAAAAAAAATCCCTTATTTGAATTATTAAGTTTTCTTAAATATATATTTTACTGGGGTTCTGTTTTACTCACTTTCAGTTACATGGTATTCTTGTTATGCTCTTATGAAACACATACCGACAGATAAATGATTATGTGAATTTCAAGGATGTTAGTTTAAGTTCAAATAAAAGGTACTTAATTTTTTTTTTTTTTAAGAAAAAAATCACAGCTACCATCTGCTGTCAGACTTTTAGGAGATAGATTAAGATTTTCTTATTCAGAAAGGTACGTTTTCACTGATGAATTACAAAAATGGCCCTCTTTCAAACTGGATTATTTAAAAATGCACTATGCATTGTATAGGTTTTTTTAAAAAAATACTATCCTGTGGTTTTTTTTTTTTTTTTAAATCTGCTTGGAACTAATTTGCTATGGAAGGTGAAAGAAAACAGTGGGTGCTATGATTAAAAAAAATAAAGAGAAATGAAAAATACCATCAAGGAATGCTATCATACTTACAAGCTATCTCTCGATATCCACATTCTAAGGCATGGAAATAGTTCATAAACTCTCGTATAGGGATTTTAAAAGTTTCAAAGAGACCCATGTCCTCAAAGAGCTTGTAGGATACCTGGAAAATAAAATAAAGGGAAAGGAACCGTAATTCTTCGAACTGGGGTTGACTATCTTTGGCATGTGAATCTATCGTAGATCTTCAGACTATTTTCAAGCTTAAATCAGCTGTAGGAGATGACTAGGCTGAACAGAGGGAGGGGTCAAGGGCATCATCAGTCTGGAGTCCCTTCATGCCCGCAAAAGATCAAAGCCCATTTTCTTTGACCGTTAGTTCAGTTCTTGTAGAGCAGTGGTTCTCAACCTTTCTAATGCCGCGACCCCATAATACAGGTCCCCATGTTGTGGTGACCCCCAACCACTTATACATCACTGTGTGCCAGGGGCGTGGCCAAAGAAAAGGGGGAAAAATGGCGGACAGTCTTGTTTGGCGACCCCCATGAAATGGTCGTTTGACCCCAAATGGGGTCCAGACCCACAGGTTGAGAACCACTGTTGTAGAGAGAGTTAGCATGCAATAAACCTGTAGTCATTTGAATCGCTTTGCTTCCTGATTTCTTGCGCCCGGCACCATTCTTGCTCCATTTAGGAACAGTATCTGCCTCCTATCTATAAACGTTCTGGTAAAAACTTTGTACAATTTAGGGAAGAACAACTGATGGTTGGCATTATATACAGGTAATCCTTGACTTACCATCATTTGTTTAGTGATGTTCAAAGTCACTCTGCCGCTGAGAAAAGAATGGGTCCTCACCCTTACAACCATCACAGTATCCTCATGATCACATGTTCAAAATTTGGGTGCTTGGCAACCAGCAGGGTTGAAGAATCCCAGAATCATGCAATTCTCCCATTTGTGACCTTCCTAGCTGGCTTCCAACAAGCAAAATCAACAGAGGAAGCTGGATTTGCTTAATGACTGCATAATTCACTTAACAACTGCAGTGATTTTCTTAACTACCACGGTTAAAAAAGGTCATAAAATTGGACATGACTCACTTAACAAATGCCTTGCTTAGCAACAGAAATTCTGGGCCCAACTGTGGTTGTAAGCTGAGGACTTCCTGTACAGAACATAGGTAACTCCACCCACTTTGCGTTCTAGACCCGCCCCTTCCTGGAATATTTGAGGTAAAAACGGTTTAACAGCTCTAGCACCCTCACTAGAGCTAGCCAGAGCACATTACACTAAGCCTTTATGCCTGGAGTTCCAATGAAGGATAATATTTGTAACTCGGGGTTGACGTGAGGGGTCCTTGGTACTCTCTGAGCCTGCTTGTTTTCTTGCAGACATTTCATTACCCTAACTAGGTAACATCATCAGTTCTAATAATGCCTGGGGTTTGTTTGGGGGTGTTAAAACGGTAAGGCACAAAAATAATTATGTGATTTATAAAGTGGACTTGATAACAAGATGGTCAGATCTTAATTAAGTTGCTTCTTTTGAGATGTCCAGAATCGTATCCCCTAGGTTTTATTTCTTACCTTATTTTTATTTATTTATATCTCACTTTTATTATTTTTACAAATAACTCAAGGCAGCAGTGAACGCAGCCAACACCCCTTCTTACAAAATAATCTGGTGAGGTGAGTTAGACTGAGTGAGTGAGTGAGTGAGTGTGAGAGAGTGAGTGAGAGAGACAGACAGACAGACAGAGAGACTGGCCCAAAGTCACCCAGCTGGCTTTCATAGCCAAGGCAGGACTTGAACTCACGGTCTCTTGCTTTCTAGCTTGGTGCCTTAACCACTAGACCAAACTGCCCCTCACTCTCACATGAAGATCTTGCCCCTGAGACCTCATCTGGAATACAAATATCTCACCAGGTGTGACAATCATGCAATTTCTGAACTATTTTATGGTTGGTTTTTTTAAAAAAATATATATATATATTGTTGGTGTGCTGCAGCTGATGCCTAAGATCTGATTTCTTGATTAAGGTTGTTGACTTCCTCTGGGTGAAACAAATTTCCTGGGGAACTGAGCTGAACAAGTTACCCTCCTGCCTTTACTCTTATCCGCAGCCCCCACTTCCAAGAATGTCATTCCAGCAGGTTTTTCTAGAATCTGGAAACTCGCTGACCAAGGAGCTGCTATTTTCTCTTGCTTTAAGAGAAGGTGCAGTGAAATTTCACTTTGTTTTTAAAGGAAGTCTGGCTTTAATCTTTCCAGTGGCAGCCTTCCATTCTATCCCCTCCTTTCTCGGCAAAAGTTGTTACATCCCTCCGGGCCATTATTAGGCTAACAGTAAGTGAAAATTAAGGCATTATCTAAGCACACAGCTTGCCATCCAGCTGAAGTGAAGTGCGCTTGAAAAAAGAAAATTCTTTTTACACATTTGCCTCTGCTAGAGTGGAAGGTTTCCCGTGGTACTGCGTGGGCTATTTCCTTTTTTTTTTCAAAACCGATTCTAAGCCACTATTTTTTTAAGAAAGGAGTCTGGTAGCACCTTTTCCGATTAACGTATTTTAGTTGGATATTTTTTTAGCACCTTTGAATAAAATGTGTCATTGGAAAAGGTGCGATCACATGCCTCATTTCTGCTACCATAAACTAACAAGTCTCTTTTTCTACAGCGTTAAACCTCTGTGGCTTTCTTTACAAAATATATTTTGTTTCTCAAAATCCTTCCACAAGGCCTGGATCTAAGGCTTGTGTTTGGGTAATGCTTATTTGCTTCCCATGAATCGGCTAGCTCTTTTTTTTTTTTTCCCCTTTAGCATATATAGCAATAGAAACTTTTCATCTGAGTTCCTAACCTATGGCTCAGCTAGGGTTTTAATCATGGCTTATCAGACGAGCCACACTGGCTGGGTTCGTACAAATCAGAAAGCCATAATATTTGATTTTCACTTAAGGCTGGAACAGAAAGCAACACATCTCTGCATTCAAATAGCTCTGGATTAGAATCGGTGAACTCCAGAAGGGCATATTATAAAAAGCAGAACTGTGGGGTCAATCTTATAGATCAGGGCTTTTCAACCTTTTCGCCCACTGTACCACTTTTAGGATATGGCAATATCCGAGTACCACCAGCCGCCTAGCAAGGTGTCAAAATCTTGATGACCAAAAAAAAAAAAAAAAAGGAAAAAAGTGATAAAGTACAGGTAGTCCTCGACTTACAACAGTTCGCTTAATGACTGTTCGAAGTTACAATGGCACTGAAAAAAGTGCCCCCCAAGCCACAGCCGAGCAAGATGCCTGCCTGCCCGGCCACACTCTTCCTCCTGTCCGAGGTTTTCATTGTTGTGAGCATTTCTGTTGAGGATTGGTAGCAAGGGTGGGGTGGGAGGTGTCTGGTTTTTATTCCCCCCGTCTTCTGGGTGGTTGCAGCAGGTTTTGGTCACTTCACATAAGCCTGGGACACTGTGACCATCATAAATATGAATCAGTTGCCAAGCATCTGAATGTAAATCACAAGACCCTGGAGATGCTGCAACATTCCAGCTGATCGGGGCTTCTTCTGGGCTCAGCAGAAGCGCCAGGGTCAGCGCTGAGCTCTAGCTGGAGCCTGGCGCTGATCCTGGTGCTTCCGCTGAACCCTGACAGCCCTGCAGCTCCAACCATCTCTTCAGCTCATTCCCCTCCCCCGCTACCCCTTTTCTAGGATGGTCGCATACCACCTGCCAGGTGCCAATGTACCACAGGTGGTACCTGTACCACTGGTTGAAAAGCCCTGTTATAGAACATCCTTTTTCTTACCTGACTTAAAATCCGACCACATCTCTTCCCGATTTTGTCTACCAAATCAAAGATTGGGAAATTCCAATTGTTTAGTTGCTCCATTTGCGTGTCCAAATTGTCCATTATTAGCGGCTCGGGGGCAAGGATAGGTTTTTCCTGTAACAGATAGCAACAAACACACCCCAAATGTTAAAAACAACAACAACACCCTGTACAAAATGTAAGATTTTGGGACTTTTTAGTGTTCTAATTCCAAGGCTTCCATCTTGTGTTAGAGATAGCCAAGGAGTTATATGCAAGATTTAGGAAAGTTGTCATCACCCTCTTCCAATCAAATAGATAAACTCTTCCTAATCTGTGCCCCAAGCTATCGAGATATTATAATAGAAAACCAGATGGGAGAAGTTAAGATGAAATGAATTCCAACTAATGGGAAAAGCAAACTTTACCCAAAAAAAACAAAACAAAAAAGTGAACCAAAAGAATGTTGATCCAGCTCTCAAAGTTTTTCAGGGTACCATTTCCTGAGCAAGCTAAACTCTGAAGATTTCTAGTTCTAACCTGGTTTTCCTTACACGTGAACTGGAAAAAGATGGCATAATCCCGGCTTTCAAATCAATATCTGAAAGCACTATCTGATTTGACAGAGATAATACCAAGCTAAAATTACTTCTAATAGAACAGTGGTTCTCAACCTTTTTAATGCCGCGACCCCCAACCGGTCGTAAGTCGAGGACTGCTCAACCAGTCGTAAGTCGAGGACTACTCAACTGGTGCAGCACCGTTTGCAGAATGGGACTTTTGGCGGGCTCAGCAGGGCAGAGACAGCCTGGACAATTCCTATTGGCTTTTGAAAGCCAATAGAATTAGACTCTATTCAGAGAGTCTATTCTATTGGCTTTCAAAAGCCAATAGAATAAAAGGGAGTAGCACAGCTAAGGAAAGGGGGAAAAAAATGGCGGACTGCGTTGTTTGGCGACCCCCGTGAAATGGTCGTTCGACCCCAAATGGGGTCCCGACCCACAGGTTGAGAACCACTGTAATAGAAGAACACAACTGGAAGGGACCTTGGATGTTTTTTAGTCCAACCCTTTGCTTAGGTAGGAAGTCCTATACCATTTTAGACAAATGGCTGTCCAGTCTCTTCTTAAAGGCCTCCAGTGTTGGAGCACCCACAACTTCAGGAGGCAAGTTGTTCCACTGATTAATTGTTCCAATTCTCAGGAAATTTCTCCTTAGTTCTAGGTTGGATTCTCTCCTCGATTAGCTTCCATCCGTTGCTTCTTGTCCTGCCTTCAGGAGCTTTGGAGAATAGCTTGATTCCCTCTTCTTTGGGGCAGCCCCTGAGATATTGCAACACTGCTATCATGTCCCCCCTTGTCCTTCTCTTCATTAAATTAGACATACGCAATTCCTGCAACCGTTATTCGTCATTCTAATAATGAACAAATTCTAATAACAAATAACTAAAATGAATTTGATGCTTTCTCAAATTTAACATAGAAATGCCCTTAATCAGCTCCAGTAGCAAAATGTAAATTTTAATTAGGATTTAGTTTCGTTTTTTGTTTTTAAATGAGTTAAGACTATGGTGTCCAGTGAGACCATTTTCTACTTTACGACCTGATGTACTGCCATTTCTAGGGGAAAAAATGACTCTCAGTAAGTTGCTTAAACACAGTAGGCAAACACAGTACAGCCATAATAATAAAATAGTTAAAGCATCTTGTTACAATTAGCGAGTTGATCTTGAAAGTTGTAATGAATCCCAGAGTTAATTCCTATATAAGAGACTCACACTTAGTATTCTCCAGATGTTTTGGATATAAACTCATATTCAACGGGAAATAGTGATTATGGGAATTGTAGTTCAAAGTTTCTATAGGGCACCTTTCCTATGCAATCTGACAGACACTATGCTCTCCTCCTCCTCATTTTGGAAGTCTGTTTATTTTAAACAATATCAAACACCTATGATCATCCTCTTCTTGATTTCATTGCTGCATCAAAGTGTAGTGTAAAAACCACTGTTAAATGAGAGTATTAAAAGATCCAAACTTAGTAGTCTTTTAGACCTGAAAAAACATTTTAAAATCTAGCACAGGGGTCCTCAAACTTGGCCACTTTAAGACTTGTGGACTTCAACTCCCAGAATTCCTCAGCCAGCCCTGGCTGGCTGAGGAATTCTGGGAGTTGAAGTCCACAAGTCTTAAAGTGGCCAAGTTTGAAGACCCCTGATCTAGCATCTTCTTTCTCTGGAAGATGAAGGAGAATATAACTGACTAGTTATTGTTGAAATCCACAAATAAAAAAAAATGAAATATTTGCATCAAAATGCAACGTGGGCATTGGAGGTGCCCCCTTTTACTATGGGAAAAACACGAAGAAGCAAGTGGTGAGGAGTCCTCCCTTAAAGCATGTCGTGATATGTTCTTTCAGCAGATGGTACCAAGGTCCAATTATTACATAGGTTACCATGTTGGGTACGGATTGTTGGACAGTTGATGAACCTATACTTCTCAAAGTTAAACCCAGAGTTAATCCCCCAGAGGTTTTCAGCATATAGTTCTTTGATGTCAGTGTCTCATCCCTTGAATTTTTTGAGCAGACACTAAGTTGACTCCACAAAAGAAGATAATGGATTAGGAAAGGGGAAAAGTTGGGGAACAATTAAAAACCAAACTGCCAAAGGAACTTAGAACTAGCACCACCCAACAGATCCAGATAAAAAAGGAGAAGAGCTAGTAGGATTGGAGAGGACCTTGGTCAGATAGTGCTAAACAGAAGATGTAGGGTGCTGTCGGAACACCCTCTACAGAGAATTTTTATGCTCATGAGTTGGGCAAAGCCAAGAGGTTTTGCATAGTTATAAAGAAAAAACAGCAGCTGGCAGAACCATGCTGGAAGAAGAATGATTGCTGTCTGGTAAAGGCTGTTATAGTTGTTATTCTGAATTCAAACTGGGTTGGAAAATGGAGGATTCAGAGACAAAGTCTATGTTCTGAATTCCTAAGTTCCCTTGGGAATGCTGCAGACCTTAAGTCTGGCTTCCAGAAATCCCCCCAATTCTCCAAATAATCACCCCCAGTGTGAAAATGAAAAATTATGAAATGCTGGAGAATAGAGGGAGTAACAACACATTTCAAATATCGAAAGATTTATAATCAAAGCATCCTTCTTTGGGGGCAGAACAAGGTGTGTGTGTAGGGGTTGAGCTTCCTCTGAATTGTTCTAACCCTTCTCAAGTTCTTCTCGTGATCTTCTCATTGAAGCGTTCCAAGCTCCAGACTCTTTTAGACTGGCCAAAACAATATTGGAAAATTTTGGATAAGGTGAGAACAGCTGCTCTGAACTCAAAATTGAGTTTTTGACATGCATAAATTCAAAATGTTTTGCGCACCATGATGAATGTGTATTAAAACACGTATGTAATGTATAACATAGCTAGCTATGGTGTGACAAGACTATCTTCAGGCTCCAGAAGATGATTGGAGGTTCAAATCATGAACGTCACTGAGCCTCTCTATAACAAGGAATTCATTTTAGATCTATTTCAAGGGATCTCTATGGAGATTCTCAATCATCCAGGTTGTCCCAAAGGTGCTTTTTCAAGGAGCAACTGGACTTACTTTGTTTTTTCTTGAAGATGTTTCGTTTCTCATCTCAGAAGCTTCTTCAGTTCTTCTGTTTCAAGGGATCATCAAGAATCGACCACAAAGATAAACTCATTGCTAGAGCTATGCACCCTTAACATCACAATTGCAATTGTCATCTTTATAGAGTTGGTAGAATGATAAAGAGAATTGACCCAGTTTGCCATCATTGGTAGCGATGCATAATTAGCTAATTAGCCATAATTAGTTCTTATGGTTGTAAAAAGAAAAAAATGAAAATCCACATCTTCTATACTGAATCCTGTATATGGCTGATTGTCCATGTTCCCTATCAGTTGCTGCCATGTACAAAATTGATTCAAATCCAGCTGCTGGCTGTTAAAAGTTTGTTATTGCAAAACCCTGGAAAATTAAAATTCATTTCCCACCCAAGCAACGGCCTTTGAAAATGTCACTGTCGTCCGTCATAGCTGTGGCTGAAAAAACTGACATATAAATGAGCTTTGAAAAACTTTATAACGGAGGGCACTATCCTCCAATCTGGTCCCTATTAATTAGTTGCATTAAAAATATTTTTCCTAATAGATTATCTGTGTCTAAACAAGTGTCATCCTGGGCAGAAATATTGAGTACAGATGTTTATTAGGTTTGTTCTTGCCTTGAATTAAAAGGAATTTTTATTCTTCCCTCTTTCCTTCTGTTGTTTCTGTTTTTGACATTGGCTCATTTATCCTGAGTGGAAAATATATGGGGAATGTTGGGATTTTGGAGTTCACTAAGGTTAGTCTTGCAAATATTTCATTATCAGAGTAAGTGGCTCATGGCAGTGGATCTGGCTTTTTGTATGGGAGAGCTTGACCTACCAGTTTCTATAGTTATAGTGTGTATGTGCCTGTTTCTGATCGGTCTACTGGCTTAGTTGGCTGCATTGTTTCATTTTAGATCAGTGGTTCTCAACCTGTGGGTCGGGACCCCATTTGGGGTCGAACGACCATTTCATGGGGATCGCCAAACAACGCAGTCCACCATTTTTTTCCCCTTTTCCTTAGCTGTGCTACTCCCTTTTATTCTATTGGCTTTTGAAAGCCAATAGAATAGACTCTCTTGAATAGAGTCTAATTCTATTGGCTTTCAAAAGCCAATAGGAACTGTCCAGGCTGTCTCTGCCCTGCTGACCCTGCCAAAAGTCCCATTCTGCACACGGTGCTGCACCAGTTGAGTAGTCCTCGACTTACGACCGGTTGAGTAGTCCTCGACTTACGACCAGTTGGGGGTCGCGGCATTAAAAAGGTTGAGAACCACTGTCTTAGACTGTTGTATTGGAATTGTGTTGGAGTTGAAGTCCACAAGTCTAAAGTTGCTAAGTTTGGAGACCCCTGATCTAGCACCTTCTTTCTTTGGAAGATGAAGGAGAATATAACTGACTAGTTATTGTTGAAATCCGCAAATGAAAAAAAAAATGAAATATTTGCATCAAAATATTTGATGAGCGTTGGAGGTGCTCCCTTTGCTCTAGGAAAAACATGAAGAATGAAATATCTC